TGTGATTGAAATTTAATGGCAGAGTAGGGATTTCTGGCACAACCTCACCTTTCTTCCAAGATGCACGGAGAAAGGGAAAAAGTCAGGGTCACAAGCCAAAACATGCTAGTTTTCAAAATACAAGTGTTGCTGGAGTTGTGGCCTCTGTAGTCAGCTACAAAGCGAAATAAATGTGCCCATAAAAACAGAAACGACCCACACATCCTTTGTTATTCATAACGAAGGCTCTTTCACTCTTGCACTCTGGGAGCGAGGGGCCACTAAATGCATAAAACATGGTGTGAAACAGAAATACTCCCTTATCATCACACATGAGTCAGGATCTTTTGTTAGTTCCACTTTTTATTAAACTCATCAGAAGACTGTTTTTAAAAAAAGTCTCAACCTTGACGAAGCCGACTCATCTCTACATTTTAAGGCACCTGCTGCTGTTATCTGGGGAGGTGAAAAAAATTATAAAGACCAAACATACATTCCCAGATGACTGGCGTTTCAAGGAAAGACAAGTGAGCCATTGAAGAAAGGGGGAAGAGGAGGTAGAGTTCGGAAGTTGAGGATCAGTTTTGATGGTTTTTTTTAATTACCTTTAGGCCAGGGGCCCAAAACTTCCTCATGTATCACGATAAACGGTGATTTGCGGATACGTTTCCAAAGCCTTTTTATTCACAGTAATCATTTATTTTATACATCTATGTCTACCAGCCGGAGCAGCAGAACAAGCCTCACGTCTCAGGCAATCAACATTGAGGAGTATAAGAGTAACTGTTCCATTTTTTCATTTGATATCTTTACTTAAAATGTCTTTATCTTCAGTTCGGTTCCTCTGCTGAAGCAAACTGAGGCTGGCATGTGAGGCGAGGCCAGGGCGCGTGTGGTTGCATGAACCCACGTTAAAAACAGTGGTTTCTATTCCCAAAACTCCCTAATGATTGTGCCTTTTTGGCTCAGATTTTCAGAAAAAACTCCCCTGAAAGCTGCTCTGTGTGTGTATGTGTGTACGTGCTGGGCACTGGTGGGCCTTTTGTGGGGGAGAGTCTTTTCTCTGCGGACAAAAAGTTGGCCTGCGCGGATAAACTCATATAGTTTATCGGCTGTTTATAATTGAAATGGCATTTGTGTTTTCCTCGTAAATACCTTTGTATATGGTTGGCAATAAATCAGTATTAGTCGTATCGTGCCCGTCCTGATTGCTCTTTAACTTGACTGATTGCTGAGAAAGCTGTTGGTCATTTAACAAGTAGCGCGGGGGGATGAATCGGACAGATTTGACGAATAAATCAACGTTTGCACCACGCTGGCCGTCTGCCAGACACACCGAAGCCTTGAGGGGATGATGATAAAATGGGCACGACACGCACACACACACACAGGCTGCACACACACATTCGTTTACATTAAATACCATAACAAATCATGCATATAAACCCTTGCACACACACACCTAAAAGCAAGTACATAAACACACACATGCGCTGTCAAATAAAGTCTTAAAACTGACACGTTCTCACCCTCGCACACATACTGCACTGAATTACCAGAAGCTTGTATATTCATGTAAACATATACGAGTCTCCAGGTTTAGGTGGTGGGGGGGGGATTTTTTAAAAACGACATGCAGTGCAGGTTTTAACGATTGCTTTGGGGCCAGTTTTCACAAAAAGAGAGTCAGAGCGTAAACGTCTGAGTGCAGATGAAGAGCCAGACGGACTTGCCAAGATCTCATCTTAACAGTCAAATAGTTGTTGCGTAAGCGCAAGCGAGGTCATAAATCACAAGCACACCCGCCTCATAATAAATACAATGTACCAGTGTTTATGACGACATAAGACCTTCACTAAATCAGCTCAGTATTCATTTGTTTTCCAGCAGGTCTCATTACACACCCGGCGATGTAAACTGCTAATCGCAACCCTGCAGCATTAAAGGTGGAGTGAGCAGTGACAGCATTTAATTTCTCTTTGCATAGTTTTAGTTTTTGAGGGTTTCTGGCACAAGGACTAACCGAACAGTTAGACTGAACTGCTGCTTAATTTCACTGCGTTCGTTCACCATGACTTCGTGTTCATGTTAGCTTATTCCTGTGTGCGAGCGGACATTGTACTTCTCTTTTTGTCGTGTTGCTGACTTCATTTGCAGTTGTTGGAGCCAACGTTTGAAGCGGAAATATGCCAAACACAATCTGTACAGTCATCCACGCTGGCCGCCATTTTTCTACTGGTTTTAATGGATGTAGCCACCTAGCTAGTTAGCTTTGTGTTAAGGTGACATCCTCTATTCTTTCTCCACTTTGGGGAAACAATTTCATTTTAATCGCTTAACCAACCAAAGATTCGGGCGCTGATTCAGAGATCTGGAACCAGGCTAGGACATAAAAAAGGCTTTGAAAACCCAGTACGCTGACAGCTAATATTAGCAAAGATTTACAAAATATAAGCTTTTTCTTTCTTTCTTCTTTGCTAGTACTATAGTGTAAATAAGAGTGTCATAAAAGTATTTTCCCCCACTGGTTTTCTCCATCCCTCTACCTTTCTGTTACCACCTATTCTTTCTGCCAGTAAGAAATCACACATCATCTCGACAGTAATTTAAATTTACATACACAGCCTTGGTGTATCCCAATGCCATTCACAAAAACCAGCTTGAACACCTTTCCCACCCTTCAGACACTTTAAGCCACGGGCTGCGAGCTTAACCCAGGCCCCGGGCCGTTACTCCCAACATGATGAAGCTGGCTCTGCCGTGTTGTACGCTCAGTATGTTTTATTTCACTCCTGATCTTGTGTATGTCCCTGCCTCCGTGTTTAGGTTGAAGTTATTTTATGTGAAGTGCCACCGCCGAGCCGAGGTCTCAGCTGTTATTTCACCCCCCGCTTAGCCCCCCGCTCTTTGTCTTGTCTATTTCACCAAAGTAAGAGAAAGTATACTGAAACAACGGCCAGCTTTCTCCCTCTCTTTCCCCCCTTTGTGTCAAGCTGTTCATCCCCCCCACCCCAACACCAACACAGTCATGGTCCGGACCCTCTGGGCCTGCTGGATTTGAGTTACGTGGCCAACCTTCCTCCTCTTCCTATCCCCTTCAAATGAGAGTTTTGGACCTGCCCAAGGGAACTCCCAGGACCAGCACACACACACACACATATTTACGACAAAAATTGTAGCCTGGTTTCCAATTGGCCCCACCTGAGATTTTCTTTTCAGGGTTTGTGGTGCCAGCAATGAGCCAGTCCCTAAACACACACACACACACACACACCACAACCACACACTACCATACACTACTGTATTATATCTTGCTGCATACACACTGAAGCGGCAGGCCAACACACTGATACACACACAGCTGTAATGTATCATGTCACACACACACCATTACACTCTGCAAACAGGGGGAGGGAACAGTGGATATGCATTGTTCGCTGCTCTCCTGAGAGAGCCGGCAATCAGGGATCACAGGAAGCTCCGCTCAGCCCGGAACCCTTTCCTCTCCTTCCCTGGATGCCCAGTCGATCCAGTTCTAGTATGCCTGGGAGATCCCATGAGAAGACCGCATATTTCTATCTGGCTAAAGAATGGCGCATAAAAAAGCACATAGATTACTCAAATGTGTGTGTGTGTGTGTTTTTTTTCCCTCTGATTGCAGCGCTGATGATCTCCCAAAAAGAAAGCAGACTAACGGGGGGTGACGATCCAAGTTTAGCTATTCTATTTGGAGAGGGGCCTATGAAATCTTTAAAAGGTTCAAAGCTCCTAAAAATAGACATTCGGATACAGTTTTGAGAATCTTTTCTAATTTTTCTTTCTCTTTTTTGTTCTACGTAGCTCTCTCTTGAGCACACCAAAAGAACAATCTGGCAGAAAAAACTGATCTGTCAAAAGAAGTAATGTCAGGAACTAATACCCGATATCATACTTGCTGGGAGGAAATATATATTATATTGAGATTCTCCAACCCTATTTTTAATAATATTACCCATATGTTATTTTTTAAATGAATCAATTGTATTAAATGGGTGTCACGATTTTTAATCTTACTGTACTTATAAGGAGCCATTCTCAAATTAGCTAAGTTATTATTTATTTGAAAAATAACCAGATCAAAAGAATAATAATATATAGAATATAGAATCTAGAAAAAACTAAGTTTCCGGGTACTTTATA